ATATATATATATAAAGAAATAGCTAATAACGTAGTGTGTGTGTGTGTGTGTGTGTGTGTGTGTGTATATGTTGTGTACACACACATATGTTATTAGCATTCTTTCGATTTCCTAAATGATTCTACTAATATCACATACGCTTAAATTTATTTAAAAAAATCCGCAATTATTTATACGCACTGCGTACTACACCTTTACTCTTTAATTTTCGTTTCAATTTCTATTTAACGAAACTGTTTACATCGTACTCGATCAGACGCGCAAAGTAAAGTGACGATGAGGGCATCACAACGAATGCGAATCTTGTCCCATCAGCAAGATCGAACGGTTGATTTCGAGGCTCTTTAGGATGAGTGCTGGGAGGATTCCTTAGACGTCACATTATGGTGTCAACGGCTTCATCGTGGTCCACAAAACGCTGGCATCCGTATATCGAGGATGAATGACGACGCGACGGGTGGCAGAGAGGCGTATACAATTCGAATAAAATGTATCAATTCCGTTCTCGTAACGCTGGGATTTTTTTTTCCTCAAGGATCGATTGTGCGGTTCTCGAAAGAAATCCGCGCAACGGACATCAACGTCTCTTATTGCGCAATGTTGTTAAATTATATAATCCGACAGCGACAGATTTAACAAGTATTGTGAATTATTGTATAACGCAGGTTTCGTTCAAATCAAGCACTATCTATAGATAAGATAATTACAGACTCGCTCTTCGTCATCTTGTATACGTTTATCAATATTGTTAACACCATGTAAAAAAAGATCATAATTGAGAAGATTGGTTACCCGTTTGAATTTATACATTGCATCCGTCGGCATTGCATCGCCGTCGGAGCATCGCAACGAATGCAAAATTCTACGTTACGTGTGCTTTATTCGGAATCAAATCTTTTTTTAAGAAAAAGATTTAATTCCAATTTTTCCCTACTGATTATGCATAGTTCAAAATGTATTGTTATAATGCAACGCGATAGAAATTTGAATTCGAGAGAGAGCGTTTTGCAATGCATGATACATCTGCAATGGAAAATGTCAGAATTGAAAATGACAAATGTAAATTTTCAAAAAACTGTCTTCCCGCAAATTTGTTTTTTTTTTCAAATTCAAGTATCGTTTAGTAAAGCAAAACACGGAAAAGACGGAAGACTTATGGTCCACGGTAGCTTTTCAATAGTCAGAAGAGTCAATCACTGTCAGTCAAGCCCAAGTCAAGCTATCCGTATATTCCGTACACACATGCTTCACACATACACTAACCCATTGTTTTTAGGCAACTGAACGTTTTCTCAAAAATTCAGAGAAAAACTCCTAAAAAAATAATATAAAAGTGTTTAGTCACAATCGTTTTTCTTGCATCATAACTCCCATATCTTGTGTATATGTATTTTTATAAAAAAAAAAAAACCTGCAAAAAAAACTTTATACGTATTTTACTTTAGCAGTAATAAATAATAGCAAAATAATGTGCAAAATAAATTTATATTTTTATTATATAAATTGAAAAAATAATGCAGAAGGAAAACCTGAATATCTCAAGCGAACCACCAACAACCAGTAGTGTGTTTTGTAAGATAGTTCTTTGTGCAAAATTTTAGAATTAAAATATATCACGTCTCATATGTTTACGTTGTGTTTTACAAATTTTCTTCTATCCTCTCGGAAAAGGCTCTCGTAAGATCGCGAACGTTCAACGTAGGGGCGCGTCGCCGAGCGATGTGCCATCGCTGCTTTCTTTCGCTAAATCGTTCGGTGTCGGCGATTTCGCTTTAACGGAGGAGACTGCGCGACGTGTGTTATTCCAGCCCGACGACGAGCGTGTGGTGCCTTAAGTAACATAAAAACGCAAGCGCTCTGTCCATGAAACTTTATCCAACTTCTGTTGTAAGTAGCTTCTAAGCGACGTACCTTTCTTTCGCGGGGGCGTTCATAAGCCCCGCGAGTGCTATAAATCGATTTTTCTCCGGGGAAGAATAAGCCGTTGCTCTCTATCTCCTCCCCCTCCCTCCTCCTCCTCCTCTTCTTTCTCT